TAGGTTGTAATAATTTATTTTCCTCTTTCGTTTCGGTTTAATGTTTTTTTGTTATTCTTTTTTCAAAAATTTTGGGGGGTGCCCCCCCGTGCCCCCCCTCGCTACGCTACTGCTTTGTATGATGAATGTTCTGGTTGAGTGATAGCAACTATTAGTCACTATACAGTGCTATTTGTCAGTATCAACTTCGTTAAATTTCATGGTTTTACTGTATGCGCTCTATTGTTTTTGTATTATTATTTTTTGTATTACTCTAGTTAATTTTACTGCTGTTGTCGTTATTTCTATCACTATATCATCATACCCAAGAATACTGGTCGTAAGCTCAACCCGGTTATAAGCCCCCTCTCTCGATGGAGTAACGTCGTGCAGCCACGTACGACACTGAAATGCATTGTGCGTTGCAATATGGGGTTGTTTTGAGGGACGCTTCATCACTCATTTTTGTTATATCAGCGAAGGAAAAAGAAGCCATATTCATATTAAAGCGTCCCCTAAAGCAGCCTCATGATGCAACGCGTTCTGCAACTCCGTTTTTCTGTCAACGCGCATTCTCGTTGTTACAGCTACTGTTGCAAGAACACTGCAGAACATTAGTTTCTCGGTTTGGAACTATTATCCGTGGTTACTAAACGGAACTGTAACGATACTTTTTTTTGATGCAACGGATTTCAGACGTTTTCTCCCTCCCTTTTTAAGCCCCTCCCTTTTATAAGTCCCCCCTCCCCGATTATCAGCCCACCCATACAAAAAACCCTTACAAAGCCCACGGGATATCTATGGTATCACGGGTTCTATGGTATGACTAATACCCCATTCACACCAAGGCTTAAACATGTTTTAAAGTGGTTTAACTAAACAGGTTTGGAAAACTATCTACGAACACTGTACAATATTTCGTGAAATAATGCATGTAAGCTATCCTTTGTCTTGCTCTGATAATATTTTAGAAAGTTTCATTATATTGTAGGTTTCTAGTTTCTCAATTTTTTTCCTAATGAAAACATAGTTTAACTAAACACGTTTAGGTGTGAATAGGGTATAATACTGAAAGTCAATCATAATCGGTGCCTTAACCTAAGTTATTATTAAATACAATATTTCTGGGACTAAGCTATAACGAAGATATTAATTGAAGTTAAGCTGAGGTCAGACAATGCATAAAACTAAATTTGCAATTTGAAGTGTTAAAAAAACAATAAAACTAGGCAAAACAGTCCTCACTGGCAAATCTAACACTCTTGGTGACTGATAAAGTTTGAAATTGCAGTCATTGCTATATTTTAAAGCTATTCTCGACTTTCACATCCACATAATACTTTGTGTCTTTGGGGGGTAACCAGAGGGTAAAAACCCACTTATTTTGCTGCAGGCTGATCAGACAATGTTGAAAATACCTTGTTTGGTATCCAAAGATAAAATGAAGAAGTAAAAAACAGAAAAAGATAGAAGACATTTAAAGTAAATTTTAAACATTTTTTCGTAAGTCAATACATTTTCTGTTAGACTCTTCATGTATACACGCAAAAATAACTTGGAATAAACTGATAATCAGTATTGTACAGATAAAAGCAGGTATAGTATAAATAGAGGATATTACATGGGCGCGCGGAGATACGAATTTTATCTTCGAGTGTGAGAGATTTTCAACACGAGAAGATAAAATTCGTATCTCCAAGCGCCCCATGTAATATTCTATTTATTATATAATTATCAATGAACTATGTTTTGGCTTTTTCAGGCAATTCTTTCCGTGTAATTTTGAATAGTCATCAGAATGGTGTTATTTTCACGTGTGAAGATATCAATTTTTCGAAATAGAGAAAAATAGATATTTCATTGGTAATTATATAATAAATTCAATTAAGAAACTTTCAATTTGGGACAGTTTTTTGATTGGTTACCCCCAAAAACGCAAGGCATTACCGGGATGTGAAAGTCGAGAATAAATGCTAAAATCGAAAACCTGACCTGACTTTCCGAAATTTCTGTTTTTCATATGTACAGCTGTTTCGGATGATAACGTTCCCTTTTGATCAAAATATTTTGGGTAGGAAAATTTAATTTTTAATTATTTTTTCTATTACTTGATCTTTTTTTAATTTACGATGATTGGCTCTCGTTAACTCTCTCAATAAACATGATTTTTCTTTGTACTTCGATCAATATGTAAAGTTGTTTACCTAAAACGATTATTACATCCTTGTTCCTCGGCCTTGTTTATCCCCTGACTTGTTTTATTATAATAATAATCTTAATTGGGTGAACTAATAAAGCAGTGAGCTTATTTCCAATTAGGCCCATAGGTTTTTTTTAGGTTTTCCTTGTATTTATTTGTCGCCTGCTAGTAGTTTATATAAGCTGTTTGTGTTTCATCTTTAACATTTATATATATTTGACACTTAACATGTGTTTTTTCACATATAAACCCTGTCTTAAGAGTCATTTCAAGGAAACAAAAGTCGAGAATGTTCGTCTACTCCAGGTTCCCACACACGGTGTTTCCGGAGAAATTATTTTCAACATGGGCGTATTTTTTTATATTTCACAAACTGGTATGATTCTCTCTTGAGTACTATCCTGACGATATGACTATCTATCAGCAATTGTTACACGAGATTTATAAACGGATTATTATTTATCGTCTAATGCATCTTGCATTATTGGTTACATGGCAATTATTTCTTTTTCCTTCATTCCTGTCTTCATACTTGTTTGTTTGCTTCTTTTTTCCTTCTTCTTCACTTTTCTTTTCTTTCTTTTCTTTCTTTTCTTTCTTTCTTTTCTTTCTTTTCTTTTCTTTCT